TCTATGAGATCATACACCTAGTAGAACAACGTCGTGCATATAGAGGCAATCATAGAAGTGAATCATAATTCTCTCAGTTCAGTAGATCCCTGGTAAATGCAACCTTATGCAGCTGAAGGCAGAACAAAGCAATGAGCTTCGAAATGGGTGATAAACGATGCCTTAAATGCAGTCATTCTCACAGATTTCAGCGCTGTTATTGCGTAAGAGATGTTGATACTTTATTTCTGTAGTATAACGTACTAATGGGCTTTCGTGGGTAACTTCCGTACGTACTACCCCCTTATGCAAATTGATGGACCATTTACGTAACCTACTAGATGATACTGTAGATTTACACCTATGAAAACGGCTGCTATTTCGATCGACAAACTGCATTGATTGTACATACTGTTTGGCCAGTTCTCAAATCAACATTAAGGATTGGCTTTCGCGGGGGTATGCGATGCTGGCCACAAGATGGTTTGCTGTCGTAGCTTGCTTGCTCGCTCTGCCACCCACCAACAATCATTATATCTTGAGTATCACACAATGATTGAAAACTTCTTACATATACGAAATTGCGAATGGTTGACGATGCTTTCAACCTGCTGTCCCGCTGATATTAGAATCTCGGCCCACCGCAGGTAGCATTGAAGGTGAGAGAAGCCTCTGTGGTCGGCGGGCTGAATATGGCGCCAAGACGAATGAGCTTTGACCACCTCGGATCAACTCACTGGCCGGACTGAAGGCACGGGCTGTATGGATGTGGTACCTAGCAGCGCGACTGTGCAGTGACGACGCCTGATAACATTCTTCGGTTCTGTGACCTCGACAAAGCACCGATTCATTACGCCACGTGCCACGAGAGAGCACGAATTCTAGTAGCAACTCCCCAGAGACCTCAACGACCCGATATCGAACCGGAGCGACAGCCTGATAGGCCTCCACCGCCATCATGAAGCCCATTTTCAGTGCGATGCAAGCTTGGTCTTGGTACGTGAAGCTCCCTCAATGAGAGTGCCATGCAACATATATCCCCAAAGCTTTCAAATCGGGACCTGCTTCTATGAATGAACATGTATATTTGCTGACCGAGGTGTCCATCTTCCCAGCGTCGTAATCTCGTTCTTCGCCATCATCATCCTTTCCATCCTCGGCGGTCTTTACCGCAGCGGCCACCACGAGTTCGTCGGCGGCACCGATGCGCCCGAGAAGCCCGGTGAGGTTGCGGGGACGATATTCATCGCGGTCATTGTATATGCGGTACGTCATATCCTGGTTCTCACTTCAATGGCGAACAACAGCCTTCATAACTATCATCCGGAACGAGTTGGAAGCTCGACCTCGATCCGACAGGACAGACCTTTACAGGCCAAGGAACCAAGAGCTACGAAATTGACACGATGGGATGCTGACTGAATGATGCATAGGCTTTCTTGGTATTCTGCGGACTTCAGGGTATGCTACACATGCGCGAGAACCGAAGGGGAGCAATTGCGCTGCGATAAAACACCGACTCATTTTCATGCATCCTTGGAGCTCGGAGGGGAATCGATAACTCTGAAACGGGCGTTACCGAAATAAGGCGTTCTTGCTCGGCATACTTCATGCATTCAAGGAATGTGAAAGTGAAGAGATAAGGGGCTCGCCAGATAGGCCAGTGGTCGATTATGATAGTGGCGGAAGCCATTGAATGGTCACCGAGCTGCGAGCCAATACAAACGGGCTATGCTTCCGGATATCGTGGCGAAGCGATTTCATCAATATGGATCAAAGAGGCGTGTACACATAGCACAGGGAGAGATGACTAGGTTCGCGACAAGATACCGATTTGGTCATTATTACATGTACATATTGTACTATACGGGAATGAATGCTTCGTTAAAAAAATTACAAGTAGCTCGGGTGTGACCACAGAATATCATTTTACAGACTATGGTGAGGTAAGAAACATTGTCACCTATCTCCAGCTCCAGGTCCTCGATGCTTCACGTACCTGTATAGCTTCGACTGACAGGGTTATATCGAACGAGAAATATCAGGCAGCGATGGTGAGTTCACACTTCTAGTGGGTGAACAAGAATCTTAGTGGTAATCACTGAGAACAGTAGGCTTTACGAGATGCCGGGCAAGGAGACATCTTAAAAATATGGAAATGGGTGGAGGGCGGAGGGCTTACCGCGGTTCCGATGTACTGACCATAACTAGAGGGACGAATACCATTGATATGACCACCTATCCGAATGGGAAGCATTACAGTGGTTGCATTATTGATATTTCGGACGCAGTAGCAATAGACACTGTTCGTTGTCATGATTCATGATGTACATATTCACTTTCTTGATGTTATTTGTTGTTAATCATGGATCTATCTTTTCGCTATCCGAGAATCTGAAGCGTCCGATAGCGTGTCCGAGCCAGAATGATCGTCCTCCGAACTGAATGTTTTCCACGACTGGAAAGACCGAGACCCAGCTCGAGGCTCTTCCGGCGACTCTCCCTCTGGACAGACGATAGCCCCGTCCAGGCTATGTGATGTCACGTCAATCGACGTGCGTATCTCGATTCCCATCATATCTGCTGGTGCCCACGAGCCGTCCTTGCCCCGCTCGATATCCCAGTGCGTGAGCGCACCAATCATGTCGGACTGAGCGGTGTCCGGCCGTGCTCCTTGCAGCTGAATCTCGTCGCTGTTCGCGTCGTAGAACAGCGAGCGTCGAGGTAGTGTTCGGGGACGCTCCTTGCGCTGCTTCCGCGACATGAAGGATGAATGTCGATTAATCGCCGACACACGATGACTTGATCGCTTAGAACTTTCGAGGCTGATTCCTATCCTGATTCTCTTGAACAGCGGTGGCAGCGTAGCGACGCACCCGGCAATAATCCCGAGGGCAAGTTCGATGATGGCGCATGTTGCTACATTACTTGGGTCCTCGTAAGCATGGCGCTGGGTCCACAGGTACAGGTAATGTTCAGGGCGGCAGGACTCACATTGTGGCGCGCACGAAATCTCGAGAAGCTATCCGGGCTTGGTTCAAGTAGAACATACGAACAAGCAATGCGATCCCAGCGCTTTGCAAAATTTCAGTGATCTCGAATTATCAGAATAAAAAGCGATCTGAGGCTTACAGTATGCCAAGACTCAACAGAGCAGCAACGCTGACTTTCGTTCTCAAGTTGATCCGCACATTCCAGAGCATGGCGATTGGGAGCAACCCTACGATCCAGTCCATCACGATGCTGAAAGCCCCGAAACCCATTGTAACGGCCGGAATTACCGACGGATCCAGGCAACGTCCTGAGGCCCCTTCAAGCTCTGTCCAGAAATATGATGGTGGGGAACATTGGAAGAGAACGACGAAAAAATACGTAAGGGACAACACTGAAGTCAGGCCGATGACAGCAAAGAGAATCCACTTGTGCCATCTCACCACTGCGATCCGAAGGGCCAAAATTGCTATAGAGATTCGAATAGCTGCCGAGACCGGCCCAGACAGAACCTCGTTGATATACCAACTTCTGAGCGAGAGCGCATTGTCGGCGTCTGTCAGCTGATCGGACGGCTTCCCGGTGCCCCCCTCCGAGACGGCGATGAGGACAAAGTAAGCGGTAGAAGTGTACCCGGCCTCGTAGATGTCAGTGCCATGTGGTTCTTGGGTTGCTGTTTCATTACTTACCAGCGCTAGAAGCATCAAGTAATCGTCGATCGTAATACGTTTCTGAATGAACAGCTTAACATAAGTTCTCAGAGCAGATACAGTCCAAGTCATTACAAGAAGGACAACCTGAACGATGAAAAAATTCGTGCCAGCTGGATTGACATCAAGGCCAAGATTCCTGTTTCCCGCCATATTCGACCAAGTTCGATACTTGGAGTACTCGACTCCCCGTATCTAGTTCACCTTGTTGACTAGCTCTCTGGAGCGCGGAAGTGTCTATGGGGCATCGCTTACTTATAAAAGATCACGCAGGAGCGCTGACAGAAGGCCCCATGGCGTTTCTCCAAATGGCAGCTTCTGGTGCACAGAAGAGGCGGAGGATGTAAGATCAACGGGGCGGATCGGTCCCGCAGGAAGCTTAAGCTGTTGGATGCATCCTTTCATACAACGCTGCGAGCTTCACCCACACAGACTGTTTCGGGGGCTGCGGACTTCCGCTTGTCCATTTCACGACCCAGGCATGTTTTCTATTACATGTTACCGTCTCGTAGGGCGTGACAGGTGGCAGAAGCCTTGGGGATTTCGGGGAGGTTGTTGACCGACAACAACTTGGAGCCAAAGGATCTATAAAACTGGGGTGACGGACGCCAGTGTGCAAATAGGCCGACATGGTGGTCTTTGAGAGACACACGGCATTGGGGTATCAAACTCTCTCGGCACTTAATGACTGGTGGCTAATCGACGCATGGCTCTTCTGTCGTAAGCTGCAACTCCCGCGTCATCAGGGTTCTGACAGGATCAAGCATCCCGTAGTATAGCAGTCTGCCATTGCAGTCAGCGTAAAACTTGGGCGGTTTATTATGGTGCCTCATGCCAGGGAACGATGGGACACTAAAATTCATAATCACGACTTCGCATTGTGAGCTTACTTCAGCCTTGGTAGGTGAAACAGTCTACCAGACCAGTCTTCCAAGAGCGTGAGAGAAGCCTCCCTCAGCAGGTGGGGTGATGGCTGACAGTGCATCCTCCCCGAGAGCAGGCCACCTAGTTGCTTCACGCGCAAAAACACTGTGTCAATTGCAATCCGCGTTAACTGTCACGTTTGCATCTCGATCCGCCACGCAGTTGTTGGCTATGATTGCTCCGTAACGCCATTGGTCACTGATAGCTAAGTGTATACCTACTGGTGTATGGCAACAAAAACAGACACGCGGGGAGACGAGAACATAAGACATATGGACAACTGGAGAGGCATGGGGCTTAATCTCGCTTGGAACTCAGAATCGATAAAAAGAGAACCAGGAATTCGAGAAAAATAGATCTTTCAAATTCGAAACCAAACGTTCGCGATCTCAGTAATGGACCCATGGGGATTTGAACCCCAGGCCTCTCGCAGACGCAGAGAGAGAATGCAAAGCGAGCGCTCTACCCCTGAGCTATGGGCCCTGGATCAGTTTTAGCGGACTTGGTAACCAAGATGAGATCCGTGAAGTCGGAATCGCGTATTATATCGACGGGTTGAAAGTTCTGCCCACCTTTTGCTTAGGAGGTAGGTGCGCAAGGTACTTAAGTAGGTTTTCTTTACCCATCAGAGGTAGGTACTTACCTAAAGGTAGCGAGTTGGAAGTGACCTGGACCAGGCTTAGCAGGAGTTTTTATCGTTCTAAGGTACATATGTAAGTACCTGAGGTACTTCCTTAGGTGAGGTGCCTAGATTTCACTGAGGATCAGCCGCTAGACTGCTGGGTCGCCGCGGAACTCAAGCGGCTCAGGCGATTACCAGGAACAACAGCACATCCATGATTCTTGTAGCGAGTTTGTCGGCGGCATGATCCGGATAGTATTTGATCACCCAGCGTTGGATGTTTGCAGCAAACTCTATTAAACTGGTGAGCCGTAAATTTGCTAGAGGCTCGCTGATGGACGGCGACCGCACGCAGTTGTGTCCCCCACGGAGGGTTTGCTCCCTGATACCGTCATACTTAGGCTTGGAGAAAAGCGGCCCTCTCTGTCACCAGTGACCGTGTAATCGGTGGCAGTGATGTCATGACCTCGACCTATGCTCAGACGCCATCACGATTGAAAACGCCAACCGCATGTATAACATGTGCCTGTCTAGGTATTCACCCGACTTGAAAAATTTACATCCTGGTAGAGAAAAAATTTGAGTGGTGAATTTTCTTCAACTGCGACAACACTATTTTCTAAGCTCTGCGAACCCTCAGATACTCAGATACCCAGACACCACCTGCAAGCTACATATTTCTCGTTCAGCTATTCGACAGTCTCATAACTGCAGCCAAAATGTCAGATTCGCAGTTCAAAGAAGGTAATACTCTGCCTCGCCTCATGTTTGCACCTGAATCTAACACGGATAATAAGGACACTCGGTCCCTGTGACCCATCAGGATTTTCCTGGTAAGGAGCACCAGATGCCCATCCAGGCTCAGTATGACACCGTTCCTACAGACGAGGGCGGCTACCAGAAGTACAAGGCCTCTGGTAAATTAGAGGGAAAGAAGGCGATCATCACGGGTGGCGACTCGGGCATTGGCCGAGCAACCGCCATCTTATTTGCTATGGAAGGTGCCGATTCCTTCATCGTATATCTGCCCGACGAGGAGAAGGATGCACAGGAGACCAAGAAGATGATCGAGTCCAACGGCGGGAAATGTCACTTGATGGCCTGTGACATCACCGATAAGAACAATTGCAAAAAGATTGTCGACGAAGCAGTCAAGACCATGGGCGGCATCCACATCCTGTTCAACAACGCCGCCTACCAGATGATGGTTGATGACATTACTGACTTGTCAGAGTAAGTTCTCAAAACTCTTCACATGCTTCTTCTTGCGGGAATTCTGACTTCGGGTACAGGGAGCAATGGGAACACACTTTCAACACCAATATTCATCCCATTTTTTACCTCTCCAAATATGCGCTACCACACATGAAGAAAGGATCCACCATCATCAACAACGCCAGCATCAATGCTTACATTGGTCGACCCGACCTTTTGGACTATACGTCTACAAAGGGTGCCGTCGTTTCTTTCACGCGCGGTCTCAGTAACCAGTATGTTCACCGGGGCATTCGCGTGAACGCGGTTGCTCCCGGTCCTGTTTGGACACCTCTTATCCCTTCCACTATGAACGACGAGGCTCAGAAGTCTTTCACCAGCCCAATGGGACGACCTGCTCAGCCGAGTGAAATCGCAACATGTGTTGTCTTCTTGGCCTCGAAGGATAGTTCGGCGATCAGTGGACAGACCATCCACTGCAACGGTGGTGCTATCGTCAATGGTTAAGGCAGAATATCCGTGGAGGGCCAGAAAGGGGGAGCAGACTTCTGGCATCGGAGTGTTCTGACTAAATCAGATGTAATATATAATGACCCGGTCTATAGAGGTAATGACTGATGAATTCATAAATGCTTCTGACTGTAGCATCTGCGACATCGATCATTGATAGAAATCGATACGCTTTGCCATCTAAGCTAAAGCAGTCCGTCTGGCATTTTCTAAATGTTAAACACTCAGAATAACAGTCATATTCTAAAAAATCATGGGTTCAGGTCTCTGGTCGACCCTTAAAGTAGTATGATCGGGAGTCAGCCTGACAAAAGGGGATCTTCCACATCATAAATCTAGCCTCCAGTGTTCGACCTGAACTTGATCATGTGAATGCGATACGAAGCACTGAATCCACATGTAGATAGGTTCTGGCGTAGGCTGACAGGAAAATTCCAGCCGCATTGTCAAGAGCGCATGGCGGTTCGATTTAAGAGTGATTGCGTGTCGGACTCGGATTTTGAAATGCGCATATTTACGCCACAACGTTGCAAGCACCCTCCAACGTAAGGCAGTAGACATGACTATTCATCCGTTGCGCGGAAAAGTGTCGCAATCGCATTTGATATGATGGGAAGGCGTTCGCAAAGGAAACTTCCAACGATATAAAAATCGTAGCGGTAGCTTTCTCCGAGACCAATATATAATAGCTGAGGATAACACCCCATGAAAAGTAGACATCGAAGCACATAATACATCAACTCACGGTGATAGCCCTCAAGATATTGAACATCCTAGCATCCCCCAACCCAAAAACTCTTCACTTAGTACTATAAAGTCCAGCGCAATCAAGTGAATGAGCAGTATGTCGCTATTTAGTCCTTTGCCCTCGCTTTCTAGCGCCCTATCCCAGGTCTTTCCGTCCAAGCCAGCCTTTACAGAACGAGATATTCCCTCTCTTCACAGCAAAGTATGAAATCTCCTCAATCATAACTTATGCCTATAAATATAACTTGCATATCAGGTATACATCGTCACCGGCTCAAATACTGGCCTTGGCAAAGACATCGCCCAAATCCTCTACTCCAAGCACGCCACCGTCTACATCGCCGCGCGCTCCCCTTCAAGGCCCAAACCGCCATATCTTCGACCCAGGCCGCCTGTCCAGGCTTTCTTGGGTCCCTGCACTACCTACACCTGGACCTCGCTAACCTTGAGACCATCAAGACCTACGCGCAAGCTTTCTTGGCGCGCGAAACCCGTCTCGATGTCCTCTTCAACAGCGCCGGGATCCAGGACCCGTCCACCACGCTCTAGCCGTCGCCACAGGGCCACGAGAACCATCTCGCCGCGAACTGCCTGGGACCTTTCCTCTTCACGAAGCTCCTGACGCCCCTCCTCGTCTCCACCGCGCGCGCCGCGTCCAACGACTCCCCCGACGCGGCCTCGACGGCTCGTCGGGACCGCGACCGCGTCCGCGTCATCTGGGTCAGCAGCTCCACGGCCGAGCTCTACGGCGTGCGCGACACCGGGGTGCCCCTCGCGAACCTGGACTACCACGCCGACGGCGCGGTGGCGCCCATGGCGCGGCACGGGATCTCGAAGGCGGGGAGCTACCTGCACGCCGTGGAGTACGCCCGTTGGTGCCGCGCCGACGGCGTCGTGAGCCTGCCGCTCAACCCGGGGAACCTGCGCTCGGAGCTGTGGCGGGACCAGAGCCTGCTGGTCAAGGTGATGGTGCGGCTGTTCTGCTACCCGACGCTGTATGGCGCGTATACGGGGCTGTATGCGGCGCTGACCCCTGGGCTTGGGGTGGAGGAGTCCGGGAGCCGGGGTATGTGCGGTTTTTTCCGTGGTCTCTTGCATTTACAATGTTGAAAGTTTCAAGATACATGCTGACTGTTTGCCGCGTAGTTGTGCCTTTCGGAGGAATCTTACCGATGAGGAAAGATCTTGTTGCAGCTGGGAAGACAGAGCACGAGGGCGGGAATGGCGCCGCGCTGAAGTTTTGGGAGTGGAGTGAGAAGCAGGCGGAAGCTTACGTGTAGGTTGGTGTATTCTCATGACTTTTGTAGTGTCCTTCATAGACTTTTCGGGTGCGTACCTGTCTAACTAATGTAATGTATTCTTTCTTGGACGTTCTCTTGTCGATTGGCCGTCCTGAAAGCAGTCGCATACTTGACAACGATGAAAATTTCTCTCTTCCACCCGGATTCGATCGCTGATGCCCCCCTGATTTTAGATCAGCCATTCCCCTAGACACATGGACTTCTTACTCGGGAACCGGTATTCCCGTCACTTCCTCCAACTTCTTCAGTAGCGCCTCCTGAGCCTTCTCATCACACGCGTCCTTCTTCGACTGCGCCGGGCCCTTCTGCCCATTCTCCCAGAAACACCCATTCTTTCCCTGCGCCTCTCCGCTCCCCTCGGCAAGCATCACGTACAGCCGCTCGCTCTCCCGGATATCGCCCGACGCCGCCGCGCCGCCCATCTTCGTCGGCACCCAGCCCGGGTCGACCGAGTGCGCTGCGACGCCCCGCGGCCCATACTTGCGCGCGAAGGCGTACCCGAACATCGTGTTGTAGATCTTGGTGTCTGCGTACGCGGATCCGGCGCTGAAGCGTTTCTCGCCGCGCTCGCGCCAGCCAAAGTCGCCGAGGTCCGTGCTGCCGCCCCAGTGGCTGTCCGAGGAGACGTAGAGGAGACGCTGGGGGAGCGGGACGAGGCACGTGAGGATGTACGGGGCGAGCACATTCACAGCGAATACCGAAGGATAGCCCTCGGCTTGCGCTCGGTACGGACCCAGATAGAGTCCCGCGTTGTGGAAGATGCAGTCCAAGGGGCCTAGTTGCTTGACCGACTCGGCAAGTTGCTTGGTCTCCTGGATAGACGAGAGGTCGCCGAGCAGGACGTCAGCAGCGCCGGGACACGCTTTCCTTGCGTCATCGGCTCGTTTGGCGTTCCGAGCGTGCAGGTACACGGTGTGGCCGTTGGAGACGAGCTTTTTGGCGGCCATGAGGCCGAGGCCGTCCGAGGAGCCTGTGATGAAGATTTTGCCCATTTTCGTAGACCGTATCATCAGATGCGAAATCGACGGATAAATTGAGCGAGTCTGGGGAGATGATGGTAGAGGGTCTGCAGGTTCGGTGCTTTTCTA